GGGAGGACAAAGGACTGTGGCCGAGAGGGCCTCACGGTCAGTGGCCTCCAAGGGGAGGACAAAGGACTGTGGCCGAGAGGGAAGGAATACCTGCTGGTTGGCTGGACAAGGTGTTCTATGAATATAAGAATATTTTCTTTATCTATTTCTAACTCCACCTTAGGTCATATCTCAAGACTGCACAGACCGGGAGGAAAGGGGAAAAAAATGAGCAAATGAGGAAGCAAACACAGAATTCACCTTGGGGACCTCTAAGCAAGGAGCCCTGGTGCTTAAACGCGCGCTGCTAACCCAAAGGTTCGCAGTTGGAACCCACCAGCGGCTCTGCAGGAGAAAGACCTAGTAGTCTGCCCCCAGAAAGATTACAGCCTAGGAAACCCCATGGGGCTGCTCTACTCTGTCCTGTAGGGTCACTCGATTCGACGGCCCACAACAACAACAACAGTCTTATCAACTGGACGGAAAATAAAGAAAAAGAGAAAACGGACTCCCAGGAAAACAGCACTAGAAACGGCTCACGTAAATAAATAACACATCAACGACAACAGTAACAAGGCCGCATTTAGTCGGGATCCATTATGTGTGACGTGTGCGGCATGTACAGCAATTCCTAATAACTGATTTATGCATTTATTCCATAAAGAAAGAGAGAACGCTCACTATGCGTCAGCATTGCGCTAGACGCCGATGGGCCAGGGAAGAACCAGACAGATGTGGGAGTCGGGGGGTTAATTACAACAGCATCTCAGCTTACTGAACACTTAGTTCCTATGAAATATATACATATAGGAGCCCTGGAGGCAAAAAGGTTAAACGCTTGGCTGCTAACCAAATGGTTGGCAGTTTGAACCCACCCAGCGGCACCTCGGAAAAGACCGAGAGATGTGCTCCAGTAAAGATCACAGCCTAGGCACTTCTGCGGGGCAAAGAGTTGGAACTGACTCGACAACAACATATATATACATATTCGTATGTGTATGTATACATACGTATATTCATATATTAAATGAGTATGCCCGTATATATTAAATGACTATATACATATTTAACCCTAATGGTAACTCTATGGGAGTCCCTGGGTAGTACAAACGGTTAAGTGTGCAGCTACTAACCTTAAGGCCGCCAGTTCCAACCCACCCAGCGATCCCTCAGAAGAAGGTTCCCTAAGCAGCCCAGAACCTAACCCTTCACCACCCCCTAATTGCGGGGGCCTTCTAGTCTCTGGGGACACCAGATAACTCAACTAGCGGTTGCTGGGTGCCAGCAAGTTGATTCCAACTCATAGGGACCCCATGTGGCAGAGCAGAACTGCCCCATAGGGTTTCCCAGGCTTTCATCTTTACGGAGCAGATCGCCAGGTCTTCCTCCCGAGGAGCCACTGGTGGGTTCCAACCACTGGCCATTCGGTTAGCAGCTGAGTGTTTCTAACCCATGTGCCACCAGGGCTCCTTCAACTAGTAATGAAATATTTCGAGAGGGACAATCACGGGTATTGCTATGGGAAACCTGAGAAGCTCTGAGGCCGAGGCTGGCCTACCCTTCGGGAGGGGGTAAGACCTAAGTACTGGCAGGAGCGGCCGGACGGGGCACGGCGGGGCACAAGGAAGAAGAAGTGCTCCAAGCAGACGAAACCACCTCGTTGGTGGCTGGGCCTTCATGGCTGGGCCTGGAGGAGGGAGTGAGTGAGGTGCAGTAAAGAGACCCCAGAAGCTGGCAAAGCTGGAGGGGGAGGAGCATTGTGAGTGAGGACAGCGGAGCCAGGCGGGGGCTGAATCCCACAGAGCTCTAAAACTCACGTGAAGGGTCTTTTTATCTGAAGGGCGAGGAGAAGCTACTGAGTGATTTTAAACAGAGAGGAGCCCGGGAAGATCTTCATTTTCAAAAGCTCTCAAGAGCTCTCATCCTGTCCAGAACGGACTGCTGTTGTTGCTAGGTGCCGTCAAGTCGATTCTGACCCACACTGACCCTATACGACAGAGCAGAACTGCCCCACAGGGTTTCCCAGGCTGTAAACTCTGTGGGAACACATCACCAGGTCTCTCTCCCGAGGAGCCGCTGGCGAGGTATGACCTGTCGACCGTTCAGTTAGCAGTCGAGCGAGCGCTTAACCACTGCACCACCAGGGCTCCTCCAAAATGCACTAGAGGGAAAAAATACCGGGATATCCCGTAAAACTTTCGAGGTAGGATGAGTGTGGCACGCCAGGCCTGCCGATCTGCTTCTGAAAATCAGCCAAGGAAAACCCTATGGATCACAATGGTTCCATCCAAACACTGGCCCCAGGAAGGGCCAGGACTGGGCAGCGTCTCGCTCTGCTGTGTGTGGGGTCGCTGTGAGTGGAGGCTGACTCGGTGCTAGGGGACAACCATGGTCAGGGATGATGGTGTCACCAGGACCGGGGGTGGGGGAAACATTCCAGAGATTTAAGAGGTAAACTTGATGTTGCTGTCTGCCATCAAGTCGATTCCAGCTTCTCGTGACCTACGGGACGGAGGACAGCTGCTGCACAGGGTTTCCGAGGCTGTAATCTTTATGGGAGCAGATAACCAGGTCTCTCTCCCTCGGAGCTGCTGGGGGGGGTTTGAACCACCAACTACCTTTCAGTCAGCGGCGAGAGCTTAACCATTAAGCCACCAGAGCTCCTGGTAAAATCTATAGGACTTGGTCACTGGTTGGCTGAAGATTAAGGCTAGCAGGTTGGGAAGGACATACAGAGTTTGGACATGTTGAACTGAGGCATTTTATGTGACAGCAATTCCACACTGCAGGTTGGTGTAAATTTTCCTGTTTTCAGTGAGGAAACGGAGGTTCACAGAAGTGACTCTCACCCAAAGACAAACAGCTGGAAGCTGGCAGAGCTAGGACTGGATCTCATTTATGTCTTACTTAAAAAACTTTTTCTGAGTGACTGTTCGCAGCTCAGAACATGTCCAGGGCTCTTGCTCCCTGTCTGTAGCACCAAGGACATCCAGGTTTCTCTCTATACCACTGGGTTACTCAGGCTGGCAACCTTCTTTATTTGAAACCACTAGACTCAGGCTGTCCACTTCTGCTGCCACTTCCCTGGAAAAATGAAACTCCGTGCCAAACACGTCATTTACAATCAAACACCTCTGGAACACAACCTGCTTGAAACTTGGGAACAAGGCGCATCCTCCCCTGTGGCCCCCAAGGAGCACCGGCTGCCATTCTGGATGGTTCTTGACCATCAGAGAGCGCCGTGTGTCTTGCTGTCGAGTCACTGCTGGAACGAACGACTCCATTTTGTAACCAAGTTTCACACACATAGTGAGCTTGCTTGTTTTTATTCTGTAATACCAGAAGTCGCCGAGTATCAATACAAAGGGCTTTGTTACTCATTTAGTGTTGGTGTTGCGGTGCACGGTCCATTCCGACTCACAGTGACCCCCTGTGACGGAGAAGAACTGCCCCGTAGGGTGTTCTAGGCTGTAATCTTTAAGGGAGCAGATCGCCAGTCTTTCTTCCGTGGAGCCTCTGGGTGGGTTTGTACTGCCAACCTTTGGTAAGCAGCTGAGCACTTATCTGCTGCACCACCACGGCTCTACTTATTTAGTGTTGTTGTTGTGGGCTGTCAAGTTGATTCTGACTCACAGATTTATTAAAATTCAACTTACAAACGGAATTATTTTATAGAGGTTCTCATTACAGAAGTTTTCTTCTTGAACTGGAAAACCGTAATGTTGCTGTTAGCTGCCTTCCTGTTAGCTCTGACTCATGGCGACCCCACGTACAACAGAACGAAACGCTGCCTGGTCCTGCGCCATCTTCACCATCGTTGGCGCGCGCGAGTCCCGTTGCGCCCACTGTGTACTTTGAGTGCCTGCCAGCCTCAGGGGCTCATCTTCCAGCACCACAGTGGACAATG